CTCCTTCCCCTACCTTCTCCCTATCCTCCTGGTATTGCTACTCCCATTTCTGTTCTATGGGGTTAGCTGACCTGGATTTTTTATGTTGTGAGCTCTTTTCTGTACCTGTGTACATGCTCCAGTCTAGCCTACAGTGACAGGCAGGACTGGGGTCATGACAGTGGGGGTTAAGGAAGCCTCAAGGACTCAGAGGAATATTGCATTTCATCAGTGCTATACTGTGCCCTGGTTGACTCATCCCTGCCTTGTGAACCTTCTGTGAGGGGATGTCCTATTGTCTACAGATGGGTTTGGGGCCTCTGCTCTGACCCCCCTCATTCTCAATAATGTTTGTGTGTGTGTGTTTGTTTGTTTTGGGTCTTCTGGTGCTTGTTGCTTCTGTGCTTGATGGCTGCTTGTTTAGCTTCAAACCTCTAACACCCCATATGCTATATCATTTGATAGCCAGGCACCATCAGCTTTCTTCATCACATTTGCTCGTGTATGCATTTTGTCTTCCTCAATTGTGCTGGGAGGGTGAGCATCACAGAATGCCAGGTTCTTAGAACAAGATGAGAAGAACGGAATTGTTATGTCTCATTCAGCTTCCATGTTGTAGGAAATAAAAAGGGCTTCTTATAAAAGTGGGAGTGGGGACCTTACTATTGTACACATGTTGACTGCAAGTATGTTCAACATTCTAAAATGATATATGAGGGTGCTTCAAAAAGCTCATAGAAAAAATTCCATTATCTTCCTTTCAACTCCATTTTCCCACACATTTTTGAAGTCCCCTTGTATGTGATATTTACTGTGGGGGTACAGAAATTAGCTTTATCTGAAGAATATGGTCTTTGTTCTTGGCTCCTGAGAGAATCTTTTAAACCTCGCCTTTCTCCAATAGTTGGGTCTTTCATGAGAAACCCAGACCATACTCCAGGGTTTAAGACTCATCCTGGGTGGGGGCTCACAATGTCTACCTCCACTCCACCTGGGTTAAATTACTGATGTACATGGACACGGAAGCCCTGTACACTTTCTGGTTGTAGAAACGTGTGAGAGGTTAGACCTTTTTGAGGCTATGGGCACTCTGAATTGGCGATTATATCAGACCTGTCCTATTTGTCTTTTTTCAATTTCCTTAGCACTATGATAAAACCCTAATTGTAAGTGTAGTCCTTTTTGGGAGTTATGTGATCATTCTAGTGAATTATTGAGCCCAAGGGAGTTGTGGAGGCCGGCAGTGAAAGGAACTTGTGGACCCCCCAAGGTTATGGCTTTTATCCCAAAATTTGTACCAGCAAGCCCCAAATAAGTGGTGCTGGGAACCTTGACTCTGTGTTTGGCACTATAAGGCTGTAGAGGGACAGTGTCCAATTTGTAACCAGCAGGTCAGAAGTGAGGGGTCCAATCTCGCAACTGATGTGTGAAGTCATGCACAGACTTGATTATCTAGGAAACGTTGCCCTATAACTTGTGAGGTTTGACCTCGTTCTTTTAAGAATGGAGATAGAATAGACTGCATCGATTTGATTGCCTACAGTTTAATGCCAGAGAAGTGAGATTGGACTGGATGCTCAGACTTGTTAGATAGTACTTAAACCATCTCTAACACCTTTCTCCCGCTGTTATTCTTGTTA